GACCTGGGCGTTGGGTGATGCTGTCCCGCGTTCCTAGAGAAGAGGTCTCTGGAGTGCTGACATTCCTTCCCTGCCGCCTCAAAATCTGGTTTGAAGCTGTAGTCCTTGGCTGGGCTCTTTTTTTGGATTTCACACTGGAGCAAAACTAACTGATGCTCGTGTTCCTTTATCTGCTGATCCATTTTGTGCTTCAGGTTTTCAACTTCACGTTTCTGGGCTGCCAGCTCCTCTTCAAGTTTCCGACATTTCTGGTAATGATTTGCTTCTACATTCTGCCCCTGCTGGATATGCTCACGATATTGTTGGAGCTGTCTCTCAAGTTCTCGAATATTTGTTTCACAGAGCTTAGCATTCTCTTGAGCTCTGCAGTTTTCTCGCTGAAGAGACACAAAGTCGAGCTTGATGCCGGAAATGTCATTTTCAGTGATCACTTTGGAGCCCATTAATTTTTCCATCTTTTTCCGAAACTCCTCTGCCGAACGTTTGAACTTATCAGATTCTTCCTGAAACAGGACCATCTTTCTGTGGATCATCTGCTCCTCTATGGTCTTTAAGTGCAGTTCGTCTTGTACCCTTTTCAATCTGTTATTTAACTCTTGCACCTGAGCTTGCTGGAGCTGGACTTTCTGCTCCCCCAGTCGCTTCTCCTCTTTGGAAGCATTCAGCTCAGCGTTCAGATTTCTCACCTCTTTCTCGGTATTCTGGATGATGATGTTCTGCTGGTCACACTTTTGCTTAAACTCATTTACTAAATTTAGACTTCTGGCGAGGTCTTCTTCTAGGCATTTGATTTTTCTGTGGAAATCCTGCTCTGTTTTCGTCTGTTTATGCAAGTGTTCGTTTGTGTTACGTAGCTGATCTTTAAAACCATCTGCCTGAATTTTCAGTGCTTCACATCTTTGCTGGATAGCTTGTTTCTCTAAAACCACATGGGTCGATTCCGCCTGAATTCTCTGCATCGCTAACTTGGTTTCATTATTCTGCCTAATCAGCTCGTCTACTTTTTGTCTTTGCATTTCTGCACACTTATTACTTTTCTCCAATTCCTCCTTCAGCTTTTGGATTTTTTCATCATTTTCTCTTTCAGCTTTAATATTCTGAAGCAACTGTGCGTGGCTTTTCTCAAATTGTTCTTTGAGATGATCTGATTTTCTCTGGCATGATTGCATTCTTTCATTAGAGAATTCCTTCTCGTCCTGAAAAGAATTCACCTGTGACTTTAAGTGCTGAATATTCCTCTCAGTTATTGCATGAGTCCTGGTGATGCTGTCTACTTCTCTTTGCAGTTTCCCTTTTTCCTGC